TAGAACAGGGTTCTGGGGCCCATTATACTATAAGTATACTATAACTACAATAAGGAACCACCAAAATAGTCTAGGTTATTATTAATGGCCCCTACATTAATGTGTTGTTAGTTGGTTAATATCTGTCCTGCAGCCTTTTTGTCAACCTTGGGGTCCGATCCGTGGCTTCACTGCTGTGGAAATAGGGTTCAGGGTTTAGGGTTTAAGTTGGTTGACCTTGTGAGGTTGTTTGGCCCGTGCAGGGGACTCCTTGTCAACCTTGGGCCATCTTGACGCCGTGTTTGCCTATTCCTTTTGACTTTGTGATTCTTCGAAGTTGTTGTCGACCTGGCCCGCCCTCGCCACCACTTGAGCCATCTATACAGCAAGGTGGACGGTGACCCGAAACCATAGGTTCAGTTTTGTCATCCAGCTCTTGCACTGAGCCTTTGCACTTGTATCAGTGTTACCACTGATGGAGCGCGGAGTGAATGTTGTCACTATTTCCGTGGCAGGGGGCATCGCCCCAGGGCTTTTTGCCGCCGATTTTTTTTGGCGGCAGCATGGGGGGCGAGAGGAAGACGTAGTGATAGGCAATACTCAGAACAGTTTATTGTGAAGATCGGAATGCCAATACCGACAAAAGTACATACAGTCCCTCGGCCTGTGCTTTGTTTCGGCTGGGACTGTCAGAGTTGCAGGGGCTGAAGCCTGGGGATCTGGAAAGGGTTTCAAGTTGGGTTCGCGCCGAGTTGCATAAAGGTTTCGAGTTTTGATGATTGGTAGGGGTCAATCGGGGTTGCGTGGTGTCGATTTGGGCCAAGAAGTTCGTGAGTTTGATGTACAAGTTTTTGTCAATTAATGCCAAAATGTCATGCTCGGGAATTGAATTGAAATTCAGCTCCTGTTCATGCCGTGTGCGCCGCTAGTGCCCATTTCTAGCAGCTGCGTGTGCTGCTGCTGCTGCTGCTGCTGCTGCTGCTGCTGCTGCTGCTCCGACGACGACTATTCAGACTACTACCACCACGACGACGGCTATGATTACCACTACCACCTACTACAACACCACGAACTACCATTACCACTGCTATGAGTGTTGCCAAGACAACGTCCACAACCAGTAGCAGTCGAAGTACCAGCTTTTCGTGCAGACCACCGGTTGCCCGCAGGAGGAGGTTCACTGCGTGCTTCCGGCAGACTACAACTTCTTTGTGGATTTCGTGAGCCTCCCCTCAACAGCTCACAACTGGAGCCGTGATTTTTGGTGTTTTGAGTCGGGTCTCTTGCATTAGGGGTTCTCTTTTGCTCGTGTTTTTACACCTGTCACTCAGGGTTCTATATATCAGGTGAAATTCCCGAATCAGTTAGACCCACGGTTTCGCCTCATCCTGCGCTTCTTCTCGCTGTATCTTTGCATGAAATACGATTAGTGGAAAGACCGACAGTGCTACACGAGTTTTTTCGTGTGTAAACCCAGACAAAGAACAAGAAGACTGATATCAATCAGCATCAATTTCGGCGCGATATAACTGTTGCTGGTTTCAAGCAGATCAGCAAGACAAAAACGACCAGCAAGGCAACAAACTCAGCCATACTGATCAACTTCACTCTCTGTCACCCAGGAGTGTCTTCCATCTGGTTTACTACTCCATCTCTCAGGAGGAGCTTGGGAGCTGGAGCACGCGGCAGCTCATGCGCAGCTCGTGTATGTTTAGTTTAGACCGGACAGTGGGATTTGCTTGAGACAAGCGAAATTCGTACATTCGACACGGCAGTAGTAGCACCGCCACCGTAACCAGCCTCTGCCTCAGCCATAGCAATAGAAACTCTGAGCAACTCGAAAAAATCGCAACAAGCACAACCACCAATATGAACAAGTAAATGCGGAGGCCGTGAGGACTGCAATGATTCGATCACATGTAGTTCCGGCATAGCAGAGACACCAATTCTCTTGTGAGAATCCGCTTATCCATGAGATGCCCCGGGAACACGGAAATTTGCTACGGAAAACCCATTAGGACAACGAATCGCTAGGACGCAGGGCAACGAAGCAAGCCACTCTCTGAAGCAAGGAAGAGCTGCGAAAATGCTGCGGCAGAGTGACTTGTCTATGGGCGATTCTACAGCTTGCAAGAGTACGGGCCGTGGCAGTCTAGGGCTTCCAAGCATCATGCGTCGGCAAGCTTGGCCGTGCAGCAGGCAAGAGGTGCTGGGTCTGCCCTCAGAGCCTATCAACAGGCGCAACAAGAGCTGAAAACACCAACAAGATGCAATGTATTTCAGGTGGGTCTTTGATGGATGAGCCCCGGATTATCCACTGGCCTGGATCCCTGCGAAAGCCATGGCAGAGGTTCAGACGAACAAGAAGACACGAGAACACGTAAAAAGATACCTTGAAACTCATTTGGCTGCACCATCTATATGTGGATGCCTGAGTCTTTGCGTGTGCATGTGTTCATGAGCATGTCTAAGCCCTTTGGACACTACATGTGATAATGATTATGATCGTACAGGAGGATGGTTGTCCTAGACCTTCTGCGTTCGTTGTCATATACACACAAATGCACCAAACAACCAAAAGCATGTGCACCTCTATATACAAACCATGCATGATGTCATATGGTGCCATGCCATGTCATTCCTGCCCATGCCCCCATGCCATGATGCTGTTGTATGTAATGTATGTCTGGTTCTGTATGTATGTATGTAGGTAGGTAGGTAGGTAGGTAGGCATGCAGGTATATAGGTATGCAGGTCGGCATGAAGGCGTGTAGGTATGTGGCCTGTAGTCCGTAGGTACGTACATATGTATGTATGTATGTATGTATGTCTGTATGCACGTACGTATGTATGTGTATTATGTATGTATGTATGTATGCATGTAAACTGCGTACGTATGTGTATGTATGTATATGTATGTATGTATATGTATATGTATATGTATATGTATATGTATATGTATATGTATGCTGGCATGCATACACGCACACATGCGACTATGTGTTGAGGGTGCATGCAGTGGGTGCACATATAATATTGCGTAAAGTTTGGCCTAACGTACCAGAATAAAATATAGTCGAACACAAATAGTATGGTATGATATGCAAAAAAATTGATTACATATAGCAACACATAGTGACATCATAAGAAATTTTGTATCATGTAATACTGTGAAACATGATGATCATAATCTGAATAAGGTCTATTATTGGTATCGTTGTGGTAGTAGTAGTTTCAGTACTGATGTAGAAACAAAATTTAAAAAGAAGCAAAAACTAGTATAGGTAAACGCTTACAAATATCAAAAGATAGGTCGAAACAGAGCTATACACACAATATGTGGTTGTGTGTTATTGTTTTTGTGCCTGTGTGCGTGCCAGTGCGCATGTGTGAATGCACACAAATTGGCATAAGAATATGATGTGAGAAAACTGTGAATACTTATAATCAATAGAAATATGTATATTTGTAAAAATGTCTTTATGTGTTTGCATTTATGTATATCGATAGATGTATTTATATGTCTCTATATGTTCACGTGTGTGCGTGGTGTAGCCGCTTCTACTGCTGCTGCTGCTGCTGCTACTACTGCTACTGCTGCTACTAGCAATACTGTGATGCGGAGTCAGCTTCTAAACTTCGTCTTGACAGTACGCCTAATTACTAAATGCCTATTCCATCCTGTTTCCGTGAGCTGTTGGAGGATACATCCTCGAAGCCGGAGTTCCTGGGATCAGATGCTCAGGTGCTGTTGGGAATGTTTTGCTTTTGATCTTAGGAACTCCATACTATTGAAACATTGGCTTCGGGCTAGCGCTTCGGCTTCCAGGATAGGATAGTGACAGTGGAGGCAAAGCTTGTTGGCATTTGGGTTTTCAACTATTTGCTAGCGCAGTATGATCTTGGTCAAACAACATTGCGAGAGAGGGAGAGAGCGAGAGAGAGCCACACACACACACACACTGACTGACTGACACCCTCTCCCACACTCGATTACTCAGCTACGCATGCACTTCGCCACACAAGAAAACAAACCCAGGATGTGGTGGGACGCACATGCAGACATGTGCCGTCAAGCTGCGAGCCCATGCCGCATTTCCTGCCGGCTTGGGCAGCCTGCAGAATGATGTCGAATGATTATATCGGCCCAGGTTTGGCAAAGATGAACCGAGGCACCAGGACCCTGGCATCAACAGCTCGCATTTAATGGACTGGCGATGGGTGGTGCTTGCCCCAAGATTTGTTGGCACATTCTCCAGTCAGCCCTTTATTGGATGACAGTGGTGCGCCGGCACAGCTTCCCTCGCATCGCGAACAGCACCCGAACAAGAAAGCGCCCGTGAAGGAAGTTGTGTGCGGACGGCCCTGTCTGGTGGGAAGGACCAGGAAGACCAAGGCAGGAAGACCAAGGAAGACGACCATTGAGTGACCATTGTGCGCTCAGACGCTGCTGCAGATCCGCTTGTAAGCTAAAGATTTGTTTCGCTGCTGTTGTGGTGCATCTGCGCTTCGAGCTTTGGCTGTACCCTCATGCTGAAGCCTAGACTTCGACATGCGCAGTCTTACTCGTGGAATGTCCGGGTCAAAGCCCAAGCCAACTCGGCGGCAGTTCAATGTCAGCCCAAAAATCCATGAGGAGTGGGATTCGAGGCCCTTCCCTTACATTGGAAGAAACGCACAAACCCCATGGCAAGTCTGAACTAGCCAGCAGCGCTGGCCCAATGCTGCGTTCTACGAGTCGCTTCAATTGGAGGAATCAGAGCAAGAGAAATAGTAACAACATCATTATGATCATTATGGCTACATATGGCATATGTGGATTACCAACATGTTTAGTGTGAGCATGAAGACTCCATATATGTATGCATGTACGTATGTATATACACATATATACACACCTGCCAAGTGAAGCTTTCGAGCATCGCCATGTGGGAGCCAAAATACATTCACATACGCATACACATGTACACATCCATAGGTACATGTATGAGATATTTCTGGAGATCATATAGAGCCCACAAAACATGGGATGTATGCGGAAGGCCGAGACAGGCCCCGCCAAGATAAACTAAGCTACCTCCTGGTATCTAGGCGAAGCGATATTAAACGGTCTTGCTGAGATTACTATCATGGCTGTACTGCCCAGCACTAAATCCCAAGCTGCAGGTACACTAATGACTGGTTATCGTTTTTGTTAGTGTTTGCGCAGCGTTCTGTTCTTGCGAAGTTTGTTTCCGAACGCGGGTTTTGCAAGCAATGCCCCGCGCGCGGCGGTCGCGCTGCCTCGGCTGCGCCCGGGGCTGAGGACGTGTTTGTATTTGCAACACAAAGTCGATTCCATCGACTCATTGAACATGCCTCGCCTGGAGAGTCCGATCTTGAGCATCAAACACGACAGAGACGTGTGTTTTTCTTCAGGTCTTTCTGACCTGTTCCTGATCATGTTTGGCCTTTTAGAACTAGCACCTTCGAAGTCTGACTAGGTGTTCTGTGCCACACCTGTGCTTACTATGCGGTGGTAGTTTTGCCATCAAGCCTCTACAATAGATATCGGAAATAGAAAGTGAAGATCTATGGCAAAGAAAGCGGAATCACAGGCATGAGTCACACGTTTACTTCTCCCTGCTTTCAGGGTCGCCGGTCAAATGGAGAGCATTCTTTGTTAATTAAATCAATGAGGGTGAGGGCACGAAGGTGCAGAATAGATATCGTAAATATAGCATATACAAACTAAAGATCTAACCCGAAAGGGCGTTTACAATTCACATTCCTGGGAGAATTACCGGGTAATTGTCACGAGTGAGTTGTCGCTTCGAGGTTGTTTTGCTGCTGGTGGCGCTGTGCTTCCACCGGGCACGGCTGGCATTCCTCCAAGCAGAAGAGCAGCCTGTCGAGGGCACCAGCGACACAGGCTGCCTCATGACGCACGCAGACAGGCTCTTTTTGAGCCTCTGCTGGGCTGGCATCCCTCTCGCTCTCCGGAAATCACATCTGCATACATGGATGTACGTATAGTGAGTTTAGTATGTACGCCTCCAAGCCTCCATTCTACGAATGGAAAACTGCTGTAACAAAGGGAGGCATTGTGAGTCACGTCTACATGCAGGCATGCATACAGGATGCTCACGCATCCACGACAACATGTCAAGTTTGACCCGACTTTCTGCACCATTCGTTCATGTCCGTCGGAGTGTGAATGCGCATGCCATGCATCCGAAATCCGAGGCCGTCAAGGTTCTAGGCTCTACAATGTTGGTTTCATGGAGCAAATGCAATCGGGTCATGAACTCGAAAACGTTTGAGCCCACACCCAACCGTTTGTTGAAACGAGAGGAGTCTCAATCCTGGTCCTTTTCCGTGTCAAGCTTGAGGCTTGAAGGAGGGCACAGTCTGTCAGAGTCCAGCACTATGGGCCATGGGTATGAAGCAGTTGTTGGGGCTTCGAAGGCGGATGCTACAGGGTCGCCGGCGATTGCCGGTAGCTTGTGCAGGCAACGACCTCGACCTCAGCTCAGAGCGGGAAGTGCTTCCCGCCGAGGCAATTTCAGCGAGTTTTGTTCCAGCCAGCATGCTCGGTGTCCAAGTAGCAGAGAACTCCACGGCGGTGTCGGGATGACATCTTCAGTCAATTTGCTGCAGATTCTGAAGAATTCTCAGTTCGAGGCAAGAACATGCCCCAGTCCTGGAGCTGGGATGAACTTCAGCTTTGTTGCCAGGTGGTTCCTGAACGTTATGATCTGCACCTGGACCTGGACCCAGAGCACTTGGACACATTCTCCGGTGAGGTTACAATGACGCTGCAGGTGACCAGTGAGACACCTTTCATCACTCTTAACGCCGCTTGGAGATGACTCTGATATGTAAGGCAAGGCTTTCTGTGCGAACTCAATCACCTCGAACCCGAGCTTCATTCCGAACTTTCCGAAAGTTAGCCCTCATCCCCTGAACTTTCTAACGAGGATCACCAAGACCTTAACCGAAATCCTTGAAGAACTCATCCCACGTGCATGCGGACCCAGATGGAACACTTTTGCATTATGTGCGTGTTTGCCGACGCGGTGTTTGGATGTAAGATTTCTCTTCTACGGAACTATACAAGCAGGGCCCGATGTGAAGGGCAGCGCAACGGTCATTGCAAAAAGCCTCGTGGCAGCTCCTCGAACATTGCTCTGCAATATCACATGCCATTCTTTGTAGACAATTGCCACGGAGAACTAGCTATTCCGGAAACGGCATGCGATCTCGGACACAGCTCTGGACGATCCAGTCATCATCGCGCGACATCCAAATCTATCCCGATAATGGTTTCCGGCATAGAAAACACTACTGTGCCAACCTGCCTGGCCAAGGCGCGTGCGCTGTCCATTGACATGAAGTCTGTGGCTTTTCGGCAGCAGGGCTCGGATGCCGTGCAGGCACCAGTGGATACTGCGGAGGATGCAGAGCTCGAGCGCGCAATCCACCGGCAAAGAAGCAGCGACCTTCGGATGGCTGTTGCATGCTGTTGCTCGAAACGATGCCTGCTAACACCGCCCGAAAGTAAGTTTGAGCCCCCACTTTACTCTCGTGCCACGAGGACCCTGACGCCCTGTTCTTTCGATCCGTCACGATGCCAAGGTAAGTTTTCACTTCAGCGAGAACCTCCCTCTGGGCCTGGCAACTCTGCAGCTGAGCTACACAGGTCAGCTCGGCCAGGACCGTGTAGTTTTACATTCTTGTAATTCCAAAGGGCAGGTTCCATCTTCCTGTTATTCATTTTTAGGCTGTTTCATGTGCAGGGTCCAGGAGAAAGACAGTTTCCTTTTGGAGTGCATGCTTCGAACGCTTTTGTCTCTGCTTGAGTTTCTTTGTAAGTGTCGTTTTTTCCACTGCACTTCACTTCCGCCATCGGTTGTGGGCAGGCAACTTAAACCCAACAGGCCATGCTACGACCTGCAAACTGAACAGGTGGATAAGAGGGCACAGGCGTTACTAAGTCTCTTGAGGGTTTTTTGTGATTGTGCTCCCCCAAGCCACAGATTATATCTATTGCCAGCTACCGTGCTACAACAGCCAAATATTGGCTTCAACAAAGGCAACCTCGGAAACTCAGGCGTTGAGGCTTCGCTGCACTTGCCGGCTTGCACAGGCACCAGGAGTGCTGTAGAATCTTGGGCAACTCCATGCTGACCGTAATGGATTCTGCAACGAGTTCTGTCCAACTTATTACGCACCTCACACAAAGCCGCAGCAAGTGGCCCGACCAGGACATGGCGGGTTTGTACACCAGCAGCCTCTCGGCTTTCAAGCTGTGGCTACGATGACGTATCCCTGAGGCCCTAAGGGCCCAAGCACCGCTACAGTCGAGACGCAAACCTAAGTCCTACAAAGCACCTCCTGTTCCTCTGGGGTTCAAGTATATGTGTGCATGAAATGTGAGTATACATACATACACACACACATATATATATATATACATTTAATTATTTGTGTATACATATACATATGTAGTATGTGTGTATATATATATATACATATATATATATATACGCAGAGATGTGTACATATACAGATTCGTTATTTTCTATAATCTATCTGTTTGATCTGTGTATGTGATCTCATGAAGTTAATCCAGTCCAAAAGCTAAGCTACTCTAAATCTATTCTAATCTAACCTATTCTAATCTAATCTAACTAGCGGTGTGTGCTGTTTGACCGCATTGAAGTTGCTACTGGTAGTCCGAGGAAGGTTCAGGCCTTCCACATGCTGCTAGTAAGGATACAAGAGCTTGCATGGCTGGAAGTCAATGGCGCTGACCCAATTCGAAGCAGTTGATGCCCGGCGCATGTTCCCATGCTGGGATGAGCCGAGCAAGAAGGCTATCTTCGTGGTGGCCTCAGAGGGGCAGGGTGGCATTTTGTGGCATTTTGGTTAGCCCCAAACTTAAGACCAAAGGCGTCAACCTCAGACCCCCATTCCAGACATGCTCGCGATCAGGAAGGGGCAAGCTAGCACACATCCTACATCCCAACCCCGGAGCGCAACATCCCTTACCGGATGGAGGTTGGAACTTAGGACAAGACCTGGTGTGAGAAATCTGTTTTGAGGAACCCAGCCCTAAGCGGTCTGTTTCGCAGTCCTAGGATATCGGGCTTCAGGGTTTTTTAGGGTTCCAGGTTTTCTAAGACTCTGGGATACAGTCCGAGATTTTCCGAGTCCCAACTCCAAGCGGCCAATCGACAAGGACACCTTGTTCAGATGATTCAGCCTCCGCTTGTGGAATAAGGGGAACATGTATGAACATGTATTACCCGATTACCATCTCAAAGGTCGCAAGGTTGAATACAAGTTTCCCGTGAGGCGGCAGCCCCCCCCTCGGTCGTAGCTGCTCTGGCCCAGGGCCTCAGCGTCAGCATTCCCTCGGCGCTCGTTGCCGTGTCCAACATGCCCAGCGCCTCTGAGACGACGATCAGCCGGAAGAAGAAGAGGCCTCTGTGGCTGGGGGAGAGCCATGGGTCTCATTTCTTTTAAAATTAGGATCTGGCCTACAATTAGTGGGTTTCATTAACATAGTGACATTGTGGCGGCGATGACTGGTAGGACTGTTTCAATAAGCTTCAGGTATATGCAGATGGGGCAAATGCCTCGCCCAGCGTGATTATCCGTATTTGCCATCGTGTGCTCTCTCAATCAACATAGATAAGTATGCATATATATATATATGTGCGTGTGTGTATTCTCTCTATATATATATGGGCATATATATATATGTGTATATATATATGTATATACACATGTATTCATGTATGTCTCTCTCCCATCTCTCTCTCTCTATATATATATATATCGTGAGAGAGTGAGAGAGAGAGAGAGAGAGAGAGAGAGAGAGAGAGAGATGACAGCAGACGCGAACCAAGGGGGTAGGCCTCCGGGCCGGGGCTCTTTCGGGAGCTCATACCCCAAGCAAGCAAGCAAGCAAGCAAGCAAGCAAGCAAGCAAGATGACCGAGGGAGAGAGGGAGAGAGAATCCCTGTGCGTATATATCTATAGATGTATGCATACATATAATATCTTGCGTCGTTTCGCTTTCTTCAGTCTTATCCCTGGCAGGGTCACCTTTCTGGATACTCCGCGAATGTCCAGCTACTTACTGGCGCTCGCCGTGGGCCGATTTGACTCCATACGGGCGCAGACAGAGAACCTTGGGTCCACGTGAACTGCAGGGCTCCCGGACAAAACTCGAAATACCGCCCTCGACCCTAACTAACACCCCACACTTTTCTCCTCAGCAGGACGGTAATCGGAAAATGGCCACGGAGCTAATGTGTTGAAAAGTTCGCTAGTTGTGAAATCCACGACTGTCCGTCAGTAGGGATTACAGTAGGGGCTACCTCGCGTACCGAAGATCGAAACCGAAGGTGGACATACTATTAGCCAACACGAAGAAGGAATCCCAAGAGCAACCAAGGAGCGGGACACTGATCCGTGTCCTGACCGTTCCAGGTCAGGCAGATTTGGGAGAGTTCGCACTGGACATTGCGCGAAGGAGTTTGGTCTACTACGAGAGCTATTTCGAGGTTCCGGGCTCGAACCTTGAAAGGGATTAGGGCTTTCGGCCTAAACCTCAGGCGAAAAATCCAGAACCAAGGAAACGCAGTGCCAGGTGGATGCACATCAGAAACCTCTGAGCCAAAGCTTCGAAAGCAGTCACCGTGCGCAGCATGTAAAAAATAGCGAGAAAACCTGGATTCCCTGCTTTAGCAGCATCACCACAAGCTGTTTGGATTACTGGGGCCGTTACTGATAGTCGCACACGAAAGCTGATGTGCACGATGCCTCCTTCAGGTTCCCTACCCATTGCCCAAGCTGGACATGCTTGCCGCCCCGGACTTTGCTGCCGGAGCTATGGAAAATTGGGGGCTGGTGATTTACAGGGAGGTAGACCTGCTCTGCAACATCTCTACTGTGGGTGTGTCGCGGAAAGTGCGGATTGCGACGGTGGTTGCCCATGAGCTGTCACATATGTGGTTTGGCAACCTGGTAACAATGGAGCCTTGGTCCTCCGGTCTGTAGGGTTCGTTGTAGTTTCTCATGGCGAGTAGATGTGAAAGGGTCAGGCTTGTCTTGCCCATGCCGAGTCTTCAGGAGTGGTGGGAGCAGCTCTGGCTGAACGAAGGCTTTGCCAACTGGATGCAGACCCATTCTGTGAACATGCTCTTTCCAGAGTGGCACATGTGGGAGCAGACGCTAGTCTGAAAAGGGTTTGGAGCCTCTTTTGGTGTGTGTTCTGTGCCCTTCGAAGGACTTAAACGGGCCCGGAGGCAAAGAATGTTGCCGGGTTCAAGTTTAAGTTATTTTTGTTTAAGACGTTTCGCGTCACCGGTGTGGATATTGTTGGTTCGTGTATTCATTGTTGCCTTTGCTGCTTGCAACGTTTGTAGGGCTCCTGGCGAAATAGGGGGAGGCGGAGTAGGGGTAGGGGTCGGAGGAGGAGTAGGAGCCGAAGCAGCAGCAACAGCATTCGTAATTAGGAGTAAGTGGTCGTGCAGTCATCACCATCGTGATCGTAGGGTTCAGGGTATGTTTAGGTTTCCCAGTTTTGTGGGCAGGGGCTTGGGGTTGAGGCGTTTGTTTGTGTGCATTGTGTGTGCTTGTTGTGCGTTGCTTCGACCCTTCTTTCCTGCGATTTGGTTTCAGTAAACGCTCCACCCACAAGAGGCCAGAACCAAAAGTCAAATACCTCAGAGGGACCGGCGAGGCACCTTCCCCTCCCCTCGTTTGCAGCCACTGCTGCCAAAAACCTCGAAATGGTTTAAATTTTTTGACATGGACAGAGTTGTGGGGGTTTTGGATCTTGCTTCATTTTCTCGGTGTCCTGTTCTTGGAACAGCCGGCAAGCCGTAATGCAGATCAGGGTTGCAAGTCCTACAGTCATGTGCGACAGCACCAAAGGGCTGCACAGCTGGCCTGGAAAGATGTCATAGATCATAGGCCATAATGGTCTTGTTTTCATTACAAAGGCTGAGTAAATTATGTTTGTCCAGGGCCGAGTTTCTCGTAGTCCTCCTCAGCACCAGCCTTAGCGACGGCTGTTGAACCGTTTCATGCTGTTAACAATCAGAGACTTTAGAGATTACATTACATGAGCTCGTTGAAACCTTGCGAGTCTTGATTTTTGGTAGTTGGCTTGAAGAATGCATGGCTTCAAAAGCAAGAAGCTTGGCAAAATCTCACCACAGACCTTAAGCTGCTTCCTACACAACGCCGCCGCCGCCGCCCCCCTCAGTTATTTGTCAGCGGCCTGAGCCTTCTCGAGGTCCATGTCCTCAGTGCATGCATGCATGCCAACCTACCTACCGAACTACCGACCTACTTAAACATGCACACACACACATGCACATGCATGCACGCACGCAGGAATGCATGCATGCGCATACTTTCACACATGCGCACACATACACACACCAAGACACACTACACCATGCCAGACCGTACCAGACCACACCATGCCGTGCTTAACATGGTGCAGCTCAGCTTAACTTAACTGTCTCAACGAGCTTATTGATCGAAACAACGAGCTCAGTAGCTAACTAACTGGCTCAGATACTTACTTACCGTGCAGAATAAAGATATAGGTAAAATGATATGTAGAGCATGTATACCTGTCGCATATGTACATGTAAATCCATTTCTGTGCCTTGATGCACACGTTATACTTCTTTTAAAAAAAGCCGTATGTTCTGTGAACAATTATGTGTATATAAACATATATGCTCGTCACTTTATAGACTCATGTAGTCATCTGTGTTTATTCATTGGTTGATTAGCCATGTATGTCCATTTTGTATTTCTCTATCTATGCTGATGCGTAATATTACCAGGTATGTGGTGCAGGAGCAGAGCCGGGCATTGAGTCTAGATGCCCTGAGAAGCTCTCATCCTATCGAGGCCATCTTCCAGAGTGATTTGCTGGCGAGGGTGCATGGTGGCTACAGGGGATTTAGATAGTGCTTCGGACCCTGCACAATAGTATTAGGCCCACGGCCCCGCGGCCCGCGGCCCGCGGCCCGCGGCCCCGCCACGAACAACAACAACAACAACCACGACAACGACGACAACGACAACGACAACGACAACGACAACGACAACGACAACGACGACAGCAGCAACGACAACGACAGCAACAGCAACGACAACCACAGCAGCAGCAGCAGCAGCAGCAGCAGCAGCAGCAGCAGCATCGCCACCAACGACAACAACAAAACCAACCACAATCACAACGGCAACAGCAACAGCGACAGCAGCAACAACAACAACAACAACAGCAACAGCAACACCAACAACAACAACAACAACAACAGCAGCAACAATAACAACAGCAGCAACAACAACAACAACAACGACAACGACAACCACAACAAC